GCATATGAGGCCAAAAGCATAAAAATCTAATGAAAAGCACAAACTTGCTAAGGAAACTGATTAAGCAGACAAATATTCTTGATAATTCACATTTTAAAGCCTTCTTAAAACTACCAGGGAGATTCAGAATTTTAACAAGAATGAAGGTTTAATTGCTTCTTGAAAAAACTTATAGCTTGTGATTTTAGACAAATATGAGAAACTTCAAAACGATCTGAATATTCTTCTCTAATATGTACGCTTCAGCACATCATCCTGGATAAACCCATGCATTAGCACCTCCTAGAAGATTTATAGTGAGAAGATCAATCTCTTGTTAGAGCCAACATTTAGATGAAAGATTTTCCATACAAAGTTGGGTCAATTGAGTGTGTGCTACTACCATAGTTCTAACTATAATCAGTTGTCTTGCACTATTACATGGTAATTACATGCTTAATATTGAATCATTCTATAACCTTTATGAACATGATTTTCCCTTTCAAAATATAAATAAGACATTAGACTGGCTTGATTTTGCAGTTCATGCCAAATGACACGTCTGGTATGGCTTCGCTGTCTACAGTTGATTCTGGTATGCATGAAGACTAATCGTATAATCTGCTCTACCTTTTTTTTTTTTTGGGTCGAAAACTTTCCTTCTAAGTGGGAGTGGTGTGGGATGGACTAATACTCCTATTTTAAGTCCCAAAAGTTTAACAAAGAATGCAAATGCTACCCTAAGCTATGACAACTTATCCTTTTTGTGAAAAGCATATGGACCTTTGAAATTATTTATCTCCTTTCCGTTTCTCTGTTCATGAATGATTTAAAAGGTTCCTCACTATCAAATTTGGAGATTTGTGCTTCTTACTTCTAATGGCTGGCTGCTGTTGGTATCCCTCACTTACTTTTCAAAGCAAAAAGGAAAGAAACAAAGCCAAAATTGATAAAATGGTAATTGTGGTCAGTATACACATGATTGACTTAGTAATAAAAATTTTAGTCCCCGAAATATGCTAGTCTCTACAATATCATGTTGCATTTATGGTCGTTGTGATCAATAGAGTTGGTTGATTACAAATTATCTATCTTTGTACTAAGCTGCATAAAGACTCTTGTAATATGCCTAAAGAATCAAGAATTCAACATGCGGATTAGCTTAAGAGGTTATGGTTAGGTAGAAGTATCAAAATTTCGGGGTACAGATTACCATCCTAGGTCACTGCAACTATTCTGCATATCTCAAGGATTAAAATCTTTCCAACTTACCAAGCTTAGGAGAAATAAATTAATAATTAATGGAAAATACTCAATCGAGTATCATAGAAGGATATATGATTCTTGTAAATGAAATGATTGAGATTTATTTATCTGAAAGATAATCCATATTGGTTGTCATTAAATTAATTAATGTCATTTTAATGGTTTTACAAATGCATTTGAAAACTTAATAATGAATAACAGTAAAGTCAAACTTATACTTACACAGTAAACTGGCATGTGGCAACCTAAAAACATACCATAAAAATACTATAACCAAATAAAATCTTCCAGTAGTCCACTAATTTTCTTTTTTGTGTTGTGTTTAACTTGATCCTCTCCTCTCAAATTCCAAACTTATCAGCTTAAACCTCAAGCCCTCCAAGAACTTCAAGAGTCAAAGATTACACCAAATAATGTTTATTAAGTACAAATTTATGATTAACAAAACACATTAAGCAGATACGTACAGAAAAATATAAGTTTTAGCATACAAAATGAAAAAACTTTTTGGTACAAGTCTGAAAACGATCACATTTTTATTTTTACCTTTTTAAAGAAAAATGTGCATATAGAGGCCCCTAAGCGTAATCCACAATGTGATGGCATGTATTTGATACAAGGCTATTGCTATTAGCATCAGTTTTAGACCCATTGCCTTCCAGTTGAATTATTTGATCTTCATGGGATTTTCAGCTAAACATTTTCCACTAGAGGATAAAGGAATGCAATCTTAGCCCCTCTAAAACAGCTTGATCACATATCAATGCATAACTCAAGAGGAAACCATGTAGCACTCAGTAAACAGGGTCGGAGAATTTTTGGAACATGCTACAAATGGGATAGTTCATTTCACTAAAATCTCAAAATTTCACACAAAATATGAAGCTCGCAAATATTTATTTCCCTTTGCTCAAGTCATTAGTCCAAAATGTAAACTACCGTGTTAATGAAGAAAAACAGAATGCTTAGCAATATCAGCCTACCCTTCCTATCTTCTTGCTTTGACTTGAAATCCCATTTAATGGCCTCTATAGAGTTCTGAAAGTCTAGCCCTTTAACTTCAAAAACCCACTAAAGTATCAGTACTGACAATGCAAGTTTGGACCTTGGACTTGAAAAACAAAAACTTTATGCACAAAATTCTAGTTGAAACGCCAAAGGCATCCGGCTAATAAACGCTACCCGGAAAGCACTCCCAACGTGCATGGATAGACCATTGCATTATATATAACACAGAAAAGATGCATTCAAGCAATACAATGCCATATAGTAAGTGATCCGACAAATCTTGGATTGGCTACCAACCAATTGACACCTGTTCTAACAGTTATACTTTTACTTTTGTGGGGGGCAGGTCAAGGCAGAAAGAAGGGGAAAAAAAATAGGAATCTAGGAAACAAAAGCAAAAGAGTGTGGTTCTGAGCTTCTCCATTTCTTAAAGTGCAGTTCTCTCTCAAAGACTAACACCTGGCCTAGCCAAAGACATGCTAGAAAGCAACGAGTGCACTTCTTTCTCTGAAAGACTAACACCTGGCCTAGCCATAGACGTGCTAGAAAGCAGGGAACCAAAGAGGATAACTAAGCCAGAGACAACAAGCCGTTCCCCTGGTCGCAGGTATCCATGCATGTGCCACAAAATTAAGACAAACACACCAGATGGCGCTGATAAAAGATACTGCCCAATAGTTACGCTTTTTATGAAACCAAGAAATCGAAAAAATCATTCATGGTACAATAACACGTAGATCCGAAAAGAACCCAAACAATTTGCTTTGGCTAAAGCACAGCGGAAAACCCTCAAGAACTCGTGCAGTAGGAGGCTATAAACAAACTAAAATGGACAGATAATATAACAACTCCAAGAATCAGAAATGTAGTTACCAGGATAGAAGGTGGGACGATGACTCAGTTTTTTCCTTTTGACTTGTGGTCAGAATGGCGGGTACCGTCGCCGTAGCAAAGCTGCAACCGGGCATCGAATCCGGGGAGAAAGTGGTGGTGATGGTGGTGGTGGTTCTCCACAGGTGCAACAGCAGCATTAGGTGGAGATGCGGTTGTGCTGCTGAAGAAAGCCGATGATGGTCCGTCTATGGGCGAAAACCTCTGGACGTGAGGTAACAGAGACGGCGGAGAAGAAGAATTGGACTGAAGGGTCCCCCTATTGAAACCAGCAAGGCCGGAAGAAGATGGAGAAGAAATGGTAAAGTTGAGATTGTAATCACTGTTACTGCCGTTACCGTTACCAGTATGATTACTTTGGCTATTCCCATTCCCACCGGCAGCTGTCACAACCGGGACGAGGTGGTCCGGTACAAACGAGAAATGCGGAAGGTTCGTGTGGGAGCTGTGGTGGTGGTGGTGGTCAGCTGTGATGGTAAACAGCGGGGAGGATACAGACGTCAGGGACTGATGAAGAGGATTACCCAGCTGGATTTGCCCCAAAAAGCTTGCAGATGGTTGATGTATAGCACGGGAAGAAGAGGACAGGCCTAAAAGCCCTGTGGCAAAGTAGTCCATAGGAGTAGAAGAAGACCAATGTCTGGATGATGATTTGTGGAAAAAATTAGACTCATTTGCAGTGCCATTATTACCATTACCGCCGGCATTGCTGCCGCCGCCGCCGCTGCCGCTGCCGCTGCCAGGGTTTTGATGAATTGAACCGCCTGTAGGACTACCAGTTGTGTTGTTGTTGCTGCTAGTGTTGCTAACATTAGCAGAATTACTCATCCCAGCAGTCAATAGCTGAGTGAAAGAAGAATTTTCAGAAATAGGGTTCACATTCAGGTGTGGCTGATGGGCTACACGAGAAGATTCTTCCTTCTCTTTCTCTTTCTCCTTCTCAGCTGCTCTTTCCCTGGCCCTCTCTCGAGCTTTAATCCGGCTTTCAGACCGGGAAAGCGACAATCCTGAACCCTTACTGGTCTCAGAAGTGCTACTACAAGCAGATTTAGAGAAAGCCCCAAGCTGCTGCTGTTGCTGGTAATTGAGTTCACCTTCCATGTCCATTTCTGCAGAATCAAAGCCAAGCTCATGAGTACCTGCACTTGACCTCTTTTCATCACTGAGCTGCTGAGGAGTGTCTGGAAATGCTGTATTAATCGAGGGCAGCTCCGCGATAGAGCTGGCTGCAGCCTTAAGCAGCCACTCTACGGCCTTGCTGGGCTGATCATAACCCAGTCTATCCTGCAGATCATAGAATTGTATTGCAGTGGTCACTGACAAACGAACACGCCGGTCTCTTAGTCCTTTCGTAGTCCAAACTTTGCTATGCCGATCTTTTCCACCGGATGCCCGTGAAACCCTAACAATCCGAGAAGAAGGCCACCCACAAAGCCTACCTAGACCACTCGAAGCAGTTATATCCAGTCCCCCCACCCCAACACCACCTCCTCCTCCTCTGGCACTCCCATTGACGTTGGCCCTCTTGACCTCCTCCTCCCCATCTGCTTCATCTTCCTCAGGCTTGCACTGGTCATCCCCTTTATGCCCTATCTTGGCTGCGTCATCATTAATCCTACCACTTCTGCTGCGGATCCTCGGAAATTTACACCCTGGGGTTTGCATCTCCTCCATCTCCATGCCACTTTCATACCTTTCCAAACCAAGATAAATTAAGCTTGCAGAGCGAAAAAAGAAACCCAAGATGCAAGCTGCCCTTTCCAAGATTTAACCAGGTTTAGAGGAGAGGAAGGAGAGAGAGTAAACAAAAGAATAAATAAATAAAACAACACGAAATAGAAGAGAGGCCTGATGAAATCTGGGGAGCAGGGAAAATGGAAAATCAAACCCAAGGTTAAGTCATGGAAAGAGAAAACTGTGGGAGTGAGTGGACAGGTTGGAGGGGAAGAAGGGAGGGGGGGGGGACTGCATCTATTTGTGTGTGTGGTTGAGAGTGTACTTTGCATTGATGACAATTACCCTGAGTACTTTGGCTTTTGTAAGGATAAATACACACATCACACATTTATCTGTGTGTGTATATATATATATATAAGAAAAAGAAAAAATACGTATAGTGTGTGAGTGTGTGTTGAAAAAGACTATTTTTGCGGTATGAAATATCACGTTCCAGTTTCAGACAGGCCAGGCTGCTAGTAATGTCAGAGGAGGAGAAGAGAAGAAAGGAAAGGATGGCAAAAGCAAAGGGGACTTCTTTCTCTCTTTCTTACTCTCTTTCTTTCTCTCTTTCTGTTGTTTGAAGCTTTTTGCAGTGGTGTTTTCTAAAGCAAATAAAAGCCTGTGAGTCTGCTCAGACGGAATCCTCTCTCAAGTCGCATCCTTACCCTAAAAAAATCAGCAGCAAAATTGCAAGTTATAACCACAAAAAAAAATAAAAAAGAAAGACTAAATCAAAAACCAATTCTAAAATTTAAAAAATATAAAGAAAAAAAAAAGAAACAAGAAAAGAAAGATGTAGAGCAAGCATCAGATGCTGAGAAATGTACAACACTACTTTTTAGTACACATAACACAAACACACCATAAAGTAGCCAGTAGTGTTGGTTGTACTACTAGAGTACTGCCACCATCCACCTCTATAATTCATCATCTGCTAAGAAGAAAAGCTACAGAAGTACTGATGAAAAGTCTGCATCTCTTTTTCATATAGGCTGTATACATACATACATATTACAGATTACTGGCCTTTGATCTGTATGTGGTTGTGGCTAATAGCTTGTTCTATCTCCAGATTTTGCTGTGTTTGTTTTTGTTCTAGGTTGATGAGGAAAAGGCAATATGGAAGGTGCAATCGCTATTAATTTGCTGTCAAGTCCTGATATGTGAGGAAAGTGATTTACTGCTAATTGCTGCAGGCGTATCTAAAGCTTGGCTATGGCTAATGAGCCTGAAAATGTGGAAATTGCACACTGAATGAAATGAAGATGAGAGATAAATCCCAAAGGCATAAATGGGCAATAAACTAGTATCTCTAAAGTAGTTGTAATAAAATACAAATAAATTTGAAACATTTATTTTGACTGGTCTGTTTAATATTGAATGGTAGAGTAATAAAATATGTGTTTAATCTTGGTTGTCTCTTGAGAAGATGCAAATCATGCAATTAGACGACAAAATACAAATCTACAACAGTTGGATCTGTGACTTGTGATCTCATTGAAGGGCTTATTCTTGGCAGATCCAGGGCTAGCTCCTGCAATGTACCAAAAAGAAAAACAAAATGAGCAATTAGAGCGTGGTAGAAACTACAAGTCAAGAACAAATCTCCATACATGTTCAGATATCATTGATCAGGTTTTAAGATTTCTTTCGTACATCTTTTCTTTGCTGTGACGAATTAACTGACATTAGCACGCAAATTATGCAAGAGAAGTTCAGGTTTCTTGAAAACCCATCATCTGTCCTGTCCAAATTTGCTTCTAAAGAAGTGAAATGGGACCAAAAAGTACTACTGCCATTGACTATAGCTGAAGACTGAAAAGCTGAAGAAAATGAGATATCGTAAATGGCTGGCAAGACAGGTGAAGAAGAAGAAGAAGAAGAAGAAGAAGAAGGGGAGATCAATAGAAAAGTTATGAAGTTCAAAAGGAAAAATAAAATAAAATAAATTTCTACTGCATTTGTGTTGATCTGTTGCCCGAAATTCCAGTGGTCTTGTTTCCTTGCTTCTTAACTGAGCAAACCCCAAAGCCAACAAAAAGATCCTAAAATTCCCTCACCACCTTGCAAAACCAAAAATCAATGCATTTGTTAGTGACAATTGCACCCTAAAATATATGATCGAACATAATGGACATAATCAATAAACAAATTATGTAGATTCTGAAACATGAAAATGCGACTACTATTTTAGCATTTGCATTTTTAAAAATTATATTTTTATACATTTTTGTCTTAGTATTTACATTTATTGTTTCTGTCTATTGTATTAATATATGCATTTTATGGTGTAATTGTCCATGTGGAAGCGTAACATATCAAAACTATCACTAACAAAAACTCAATTTTGACATTTACAAAACTTCATTTTCCTATTTTTTTTTTAATATACAATGCTTGTTTTGAGGGTGTTTATTAAGCAAGAAAGAAGTGAAATTTAAGGAGTTGAGAGGAGGGAAGGGGATTGAAACCAAGGCTAAATGCTGAACTCTCAATTTTAACTATTAAATTAAGGCTTTTTTGGCCATTGTTTTTTCTTTATTTACTTATTTGTTTAGTGTTGTTATTATTATTATTTGGATGTTAAGGTTGATTAGGAGTGGTGATTAAGAAAGAATTGAAGGGGTAATGTGAGCGGCAGGATGGGGCGTGACTCGAGGAGGACCCGAAGCTCAAAAAGCGTTGCCCGAAGGATTAAGGTAAGGTCATATCTGGATTTGGGCAGCTCACCGGGCATATCGGGAAAGCACAGACACAGCGCCGTTCGTCTCTTCTACATCCTTTTGTATTTGTACACTTTCCGTTTCTTGGCCTCTTTAGCCAGGGGATTAGAATGAAAGCTTTTGTTTGATTGATTTTTAATATTTTTCTTTTTTCTTCATTTACTTAACGTATCCCATCAAATGCATAGAGAGAGGGGAAGAAATTGAGAGAGAGAGAGAGAGGAAAAAATTATAGTGCATCAATATTTGTTGGATACCTTGGTTCGTATCCTTTGAAATGAGGAAAGAAGTAAAAATAAATAAATAAATATAGTATTAGTAAAAACTCATACTACAATCTTCTTATCCAAAAATAATTATTATGTTATTTCATTTACTTTGGAATTATTATCACAAGTGGATAAATCAAGTATAAGATTTGAATTCTTGAACTCTAATACCAAGTGTAGAGTTACGTAATTTAGAAACTATCAAACCATTAAGAGTCCGTTTGGTTTGTGGGATGACACAAGATTAGAGTAATCACCATGTGCCATTCCATGTTTGGTTACATTTTACACATTGGATAACATATCCCAACTAAGTGAATTAATTCTCTATCATTGGATCAAATAATCCCATGAGAGAGGTGATATTAGTCATCCCGAGATGACTAAAAGATGTGATGATGAAATTTTAGATTAATTTATCCTTACAAATAATATAAATTTATACTTTCATAATTATATAACCTTACTCTTATATGATAATATAATATAAATGGACTAATTTGCCCCTACTAATTAATTTAATTTTTTTAACTAATTTGCCCCTACTACCAACGTAACAATATTTGGACTAATTTGTCTTTACAAATGATACAAATTCATACTGAATATTACACAGCCATACTCTCACATAATAATATGATAATAAACAGACTAATTGTCCCTACTAATTATATTAAAATTTTTGACCAATTTGCCACTATTCGTTATTTTAAATTTTTGACAAATTTACCCCTATTAATTAATCAAAATTTTTTGATTAATTTGCCCCTACTTACATCATAATAAACGGACTCTATTGTCACTGGACTAAATTGCCCTCACAAACCTTATTTTCTCAACCGAATTCTATATAAATACATAACATTATCAATTGGGCTTTGCGAACAGGGGTTTCAATAAGTTCAAACTCGGCCAAAAGAAAATTTTTCTATATTGGCTTGAGTTTGGCTCATTTAAAACTCTTAAATGGGTTGGATTTTGTTCTATTTAACTCTAATTAAACCAAAACTCAGCCCACTATTGAATTGAATTGCAAATTTAGATTAAAAAGTTAGGTTAAAACCAATTTTTAAGGGGCTGAATGGGCTAAGTATGAGTGAATGCAAATTTTTATATATCAAACCCTTGATTTACTTTATAATTCTAAAGTTTAAAATTACTTTATTTTAATACAAGTTATAAATTATTAAATTATTTTACTAAAATGATCCTACAAATTAAGGGGTAATTTAGTCATTATAATAGTAATTCTATCTCATCCAATCTCTAACCAAACACAGGATATGATTATTTCCTAATATATCCTAGACAACCTAAAACCAACTAAACACTAGATAACTTGGATTATTAATTTGAGGATGATTCAACCCAAGATTAATAATCTGAAAATGAGTCAACCCATTTCATCCAATTCATGAGCCAAATGAACCCTAAAAATTTAAGCAATGAGAATATTTGATGCACGGATACCTGTTGAAGAAGAATAATAATCCCCACTTTCAATGAAAGAATATGAACATTTTAAAAATGACTGAATGCAATTTTAGTTTTTCTCAACTCAATATAAAAACAGAAGTATATAACAAATAACCTATAAATTTTGGTGAATAAGAAAAAACACAAATAGAAATTATCAAATTAATACACAAAACCTAAAACAACTAATATGGAATAAATTATATTTAATAAAAGTGACTAAGCAACTTAATAACAAACAAAGAGTAAAATAGAAATTAACAAAACTTTGAATCTAACTTGAATTCCAAAATTTAACTTCTAAATTCTTCCAGATGCCTTAACTTTTGAGGGGAAAAAGATCATGGGTGCATCATTGTAACTCAAATCTGGCCAAAAGATTTCCAAATTTTGGGTGTGACAAGTTAGGTGTATATCTTTTTGTTTAGATATAACCCTAATTAGAATCAAGTCAACCGATTTAAATGAATACGACGTGAAAAAGATTATAGTAACAAAATTTGAGAGTGACGAGTTAGCCAAATATATATATATATATATATATATATATATATATATATATATATATATATATGTATGTATGTATGTGTATGTATATATATAGACACACACAACTAAAAAGAAAGCAAACTGAATTAAAGTCAGGTCAAATTTTGATCTGACAAGTTACACAAATTTGTGATACATGTATAGTCAATTATTGCTTTGATAGACAATTTGCTTCAAAGGGACAGTACAAGTATAACAATCTCAAGCAAAGACAATGGCTATAATTGAAAAAGAAAATCACAATCTACAAGTAAAAACGAGGAGAACTATTGTTATAAATGTAAAAATGTTGATTTACAAGCTAAATATATGGTAATGGATGGTACCATGAAAAGATCAATGTTCCACATTCCATCTTTTTTCCTTTAATTTTTAATTTTGTCCAATTGCATTTTCAGACATGAGAGATCCCATAATTACAAGTAGATCATTTTGCAAGAGGTAGATAATTTTTACGTTCCTTGAAGTAGGGGTGGACACGGGTCGGGTACCCGCCTCATTCACCATTTGACTGACCCCGCTCGCATCTTGCGGATCAGCCATTTTCTGACCCTTACCGCCCCGCATATTAGCGGGTACTTGATTATAGAGTACCCGCTGAGATAGAGTCGGGGTCAGCGGGCACTCACCCCACCCCATTTATCATTTATTTTAAAAAAAAATGATTTATACTAATTTAATTTTATATTTTACACATTCATCTAAGATTTAATAAATTTTTTTTTCTCAAAAAAGGTTTCCACTAAGAAACAAGCATATGAAGAGAATATAAAATAAAGACAAAAAATTAAAAGAATTCAAAATCAATAAAATTTTGAAATAAGTAGCACAATTTTTAATATATATGTTCCACATTAATTAAACTTTTTTCTATAAAACATAAGATCATGACATCTACGAATGAATTTTGTAAATAAACTATAGTCTCTCATATTTGTAATGCAATTTGTTCAATACAATTACTTATTTAGTTCTAAATTATTATTTTATAGTGTGTGTATAAAAATAAAAATAAAAAATATATATATGCGGGGCGGATCGGGTACCCACGGGTTTTAATTATATGACCCTAACCCGCCCCGCATCTTAGCGGATACCCAACACTCTTTTGACCTAATCAAATAATAAAAATCGGATATCTTAATTTTCGAATCGGATCGAATCGGATATGACGGGTTTTTAGGTTAGTGGATAATTTTGCCCACCCCTACCTTGAAGTGCATGCATAAAAGGTAACAGTTACTTCTCCTGTGTACTTGTTGTAGCCAGAACACTTACTGGCACAAATGTTTTTGAAACAAAAAATTTTAAATAAAAAACATATTAACAATAGAACTATCAAATTTGGAGGTTGAAGTCCAAAGAAAGTGTTTATATAGTTAAGGCTTGCACGAGGACGACACCCATACACATAAATAAACGCATGCACATATATTTTAAAATTTTCATATTCTTTTAACAATTATTGTTTTATCACTCGAGATTAGAGAAGAATATGTGCATCCTCAAGTGTCCTCAATCGTTGTGTTATTTAGTTTAAAAAGTGCAAATTCATAAAAGCGTAAAAACTTTTGCTTTTGAAAATTTGGAAAGTGCAGTTATGGTTTGATTTTTGTAGTTTGATTGTTGAAATATAACGGTGAAAAATTGAGTAAAACATTTAAAGAAGTACTCCTAGCTATGAACTTATTTATTTATTTATTTATGCTAACCAATAAATATGACATTTTAATAACAAAAAATGACGTTTTCATAAATTTTTTATAATGGAGGTCAGGCCTATGTCCCTTTCCAAGTTTATATTTATTATGGCTTTCAATTTAGAATTGGCATTCCTCCCTCGTATACGGGGATTTACTAATAAAAGTAAAAAAAATTAACATTTTGGACCAAATACTAAGCAAAAAAAGCATAAAAAGAGAGGGGCATGGGGCTGTAAAGCTTACATAAATAGGGC